CCATTTTGTATGCTTCTTGCTGTTTCTTGTATCTCCAACATTAACTAGGTGCTATTGCATTTGCAATACTAATCAAAAAGAAATTTATCTACAAACCTTCTTAAAATTTTTATATAAAAGATTAACATTTTAGTGATAGTGCTTTTATTAGTAGTTATTACTTGTAATAGAGATTATGTTCTCTAAAATTGAATGTCTGAAGAAAAGCTTGTGATACAAGCTAGGAGTTACAGTAGAAAGAATTTAGAACAATTAGTGGGTAGCAAATGTTATTACCTGTATTTAAAAAGGGTTTGGATGTGATTCAATGATTTAAAGACTTATAAATTCTACATGAACATTTAAGAAATTGATTGAAACAGTAACTAGGTATAAGCAGTAAAGCAGCTGGGAAATGATGATATAGGAGGTTCTAACTGACAACTTTTATTTTTCCTACAAAGGAAAACCCATCTCACTACCAAAGTAAAATATTTTACATGATCACAGAATCATAGAATCATTATGGTTGGAAAAGACCTCTAAGATTATCAAGTCCAACCATCAACCCAACACTACCATGACCACTGAACCATGTCCCCAGGTGCCATGTCCACACGTTTTTTGAACCCCTCCAGGGCTGGTGACTCCACCACCTCCCTGGGCAGCCTGTTCCAATGCCTCACCACTCCATCAGGAAATAAGTTCTTCCTAATATCCAATCTAAACCTCCCCTGGTGCAACTTAAGCCCATAAATGGTATGTAAAGAACTAATAGATAAGGGAGTTGACAATTTACTTAGAATTTCTGAAGACCTTTTATATATAGTAGGCCTCCAAAGAGAAGTAAAACATTGTCTTGGGTGAAAACTTTTAGAATAAAAGATGAAACAAAGAACTTTTATTGAAGAAAAAGGCTAACAGCTGATTCCTCAAGGTTTGATGTTTGGTCCAGTGTTGTGTATTACAGCAATGAACAAGCTGGAGAGGGGGAGTACCTTGTAAACTACAGAGATTTGCACTTAGTGCAAAGTTATTTAGAGCCTTTGTGACCAGGGAGGTCTGTGCAGGCCTCCTTGGGGACAGTGAATGGGCTTGGTGAATGGGCAGCCCAATGGACCTTTTAATTTGTTACCCATATGTTTGAACATATAACTTATGGGAAGGTCTTGTCCCTGTTACAAAGTTCCTAGTTCTGCTTAGTATGCAGCTTGGACACTGCAGCAGGACACTGCCTGAGGAGTAATATACAGAATATTGTAATGCATTCATTTAAATGGAGTGTGTGGTTTCATCGGAAAGTTTCGGTGCAGTATTGGTCCATCTTGGGAAGGTTATTGAGGAATAAGAGAGGTCTGGCAGGACAAAGCCATATGGAAAACTTCCCATGGCAGAGTAATAGAAAGGCTGTGACTGTTTATCCTCGAAAGGAGAGGAATAAAAAGAAATGACAAAAAAGTTTGTTCAGGGACTTCTACTTTCCCTGTCTCATAGCAGGAACAAGGGAGCAGGCAACAAATAAGTGAAACACTCCTTCCAAACCATAGTTTAACTGTTGAACACACTCAGGTGGGAGAATGTTGAAGGCAAAATTCAGAGAGGGCTAGGCTGTTCTGTGTATTTCCAGAAGAGCCAGATTTAGAGTAACTCGAAGTAATACTTAATTTATCCCTCAGGACTGACCTGTTACAGGTCAGGACTAAATGCAGCGTTACGGTAGATTATTTTGGTTGTGTTTTTCTCCTGACAGGCACTCATATCTTCTTCTGCAGCATCCTTTGTGGCTGCATAATCTAGAACAACAAATATCAGAACAGAGGCAAGCGTGGGGTCATGGCTTCATCTCCCAAGCCTAGAACAGTCTCCTCCTGGCCTTGGATGAAGCATCTGATACTGGCTGGTACCTTCATGAGCAGGACAGTGGGTGGAACAGACCCCACCTGGCTTCACAACAGCAGTTCTCATGGTCTGGGTGAAACTTGGATCTTTCACATGAAAACTACATTTCAGGCATTGAGTTGGCTTCCCAGTTTTCTGTAGGTATAAGAGAAAAATGTACTTTTCTAGCTTTTGTGGGAAAATCTTGGAGAGTTAAATAGGGAAGAGAAAATTAGGGATTTAGTGAAATGAATTTAGTGATCCCTCGTAGTGTTCAACTATTCCTCTAGGTTAACTGAGATGTCTTTCAGATTTTTAAATACTTTTATGTCTGAGGATTTGAAAAAATGGTTTGGAGACGTTATTTCCTGTCTTCATTACCATATCCTTTACACACAAGCCATCTTCCTGGAAGGACTCAATTTATTATAAAGATTGAATTCATTACTAAGAGGTTGTCTTTGGACCTCTGAAGGTTTTCCTACTGTAACCTTTACACTCCAGATAAGATAGCATCCACCATTTCCAACTTTCTAGAGCTCCTCAGGAATGAAAATGGATTCCTAGAAGATACCAACAGAGAAGAAAATGAAGGAGTCGAATAGCAGTCAGCTTGGTGGGTAGAGGGAAGGCAGCTGCCCTGAGTTTCCTTTTGCCAGTTTTCTTCCTTGCTAACTTGACTTCTTGCTGCCTCAATCTCCCCGTCAGTAAATGAGGAATAAAAGTATTACCTCACACCACCTTGTCAGTGGGATGTTAAACTTAATCATTAAAAAGTGCTCTGAGAGTTTTGGATGAAAAGTCTCCTGGAGTCTTGGTGGTGGGAAGCAGCAGCACCACAAAACCTAAACATGCCTGCTAAGGACAGCTGTTGGGTTTTGACCTTAGAGCCTACCTTTCCCTCTGACTTAATATTTAGTGTCTCTGGAACAAACAGGGAGTAGTTTTGCTTTCATATACGTCCTGCTTATCCCTCACCCCTTCCTTCCTCATTCCCTTTTCTGGTGCATTTGTTTGCTGAGTACTTTGGTATCCAGAGACAGGCATAGCTTGTCACAGTGAAGACATGTTTGTTGCTGATGCCCTTGAGCTTGCTTGAAGCTTCTTCTCTTGCTGAATGTGTATGATGACCCCGTGGGTTTTGCAGTCCCACAAGGTTCTAAATATTGAGCAAATGCCCTTTTGCACCTAGGCACAGGACTTTGAAGCCAAGCCAAGCTCACAGCCAGAGATGATTGTGGAGATTCCGTAGTGCCTTTACATTCTAGTGTTGGGATTTGCACATAAATCAAGTCTAAAATCCCTTCTTTCCATTGAAATGTCAGGATTTAGCATCCAGAGGGAGGTACCAGGAGTTCATACAGGGAAATTCAATCTGTATGATTCTCTGTTGACTTCTCTGTCTTTTTTACAGCTCAAGTAAGGGAGAAATTGAGGAAGGTGACATAATGGGGTGGGTGTGCAGAGCTTAGTGCTGAATACAGAGCCCTGGTTGAATAGACCTCCTTGTGATGAGAAGGGGGATCAATTCACAGTTGACCCCATCCCATTGTGTGGGTTGTCCTGGGAGTTTCCTTTGAAAATCCCAGTGGTTTGGGTTTTCTGCATGGTTTGTCCTCAGCCTTTCCCTCCATGAATAGAATAGCTTTTGCTGGAATTTTTGCTGGATTTTCTGTGGTTATTGGCTGAGCAATGCTCTCTCACTTCAGAAGACTTGAGCAAGCATGTTGTGGAAGCACTGATCAGGGACCCTGGATCATTTGCTGGCTTAGAGTTTTTCATATACGGAACAAACATATTCCTGGGACGCAGTTGCCCCCAAGAAACAGATTATACTTTACTGTCCCAGGAGGAAGTGTTCATTCATTATTTGGATTACAGGAGTGATTTGGGGCTTTATAAACACATGAATTTCTGCCCTGCAGAGCTTACAGCTCGTGGTGGTAGAAAGGCAAGGAGCTTCAGGCAGACTGGGGAACACAACACAGCCCTGAAAGATGAGACGTGGACAGAGCTGTGAAATAAGGACACCAGATGCTGATTTGTGAGCATCGGTCCTGTACATTATTACTGTATAAATCTACTGGCCTAGAGGAGAGAATTCATTTTAGAAGGGAGGGAGTACTTGAGAAATCCATACCTGGCACTGTCAGGTAAAGAGACATTCAGGACATTTCCCTGCCATAGGGCTGCTCTGAATGAACGCCTGCGTGAGTGGGGTAGAGGTCAGGATCTACAAGGCAAACAAAATTCTCCCCTAGGTGGATCTTAACATCTTGCTAAAATTAACATGCTGTGTGTGCCTGTCTGCTGCACTGCCTCATAATGTAGTAGCAGCATTCGGAGGGGAATAAGGCTGTGGCCCTGAACTTGTACAGCAAGTTGCATCAAGCTTCTTCATACGCCTGCACCATCCTTGGAGCCCTGTGCCCCAGGCCTGTCCCCGAGCCAGTCTTTGGCTCTCCCTGCAGTGACTGGAAGCTGTCCTGCTTTATGGGCTAGATCCTGCACTCACAGCTGTGCTGACTGGTGGTTCTCCAATGGTGTAGGCCCATTTAAAACAAACTGAAGATTTTGTCTAGTCAATATTGCATGAAAACTCAAAACACATCCCTCTGTTTTTTCAGTTTTAAGTTCTCAGCATTGGCCCCACACATGAGCTTTCTGCTTCCCCACCTGTGGAACATGCTCTGGTGTAGGACAACACTGCTTGAAGCTGTGCTATATAAACTGTGCCAGATGCTAAGTTGCATTAAACTACTTTCCTACTTCAAGAGATCAGATCTTCATATTTGTTATTTCAGTATTTTAGAAAGTCTTGGTTTTGTTCTTCTTGAAACACAGGGAGTTTACAGAAAGGAAAAGAACTTTTTTTCCCCATTTATTTCCTCCTGATACAGTATGTCCAGCCTTTTTTTTTTCCTGCAAATAAACACAGCAATTGAAAAGATACCAGGTTTTCAGTAAGATAGAAATGAATCCTATGTGGAGATCCTTAGTAGTTAAAAGAACTTGAAGAACACTCCTTCAAGATAGAAAGAAGCTTGAAAGTCTGTTGGTCTTCTGCTTATTATCTCTTTCCTTCTGCTTGTTAGTTGGCTGTCTGGGGAAGACACATACAGTCAGTGTGCTTTGTTTTTCAGAAGTTGATCTGCCACTGAAGAAAGATGGCTTCACCTCAGAAAGCACAACTCTGGAAGCCTTGCTGCGTGGAGAGGGAATAGAGAAAAAAACAGACACTAAAGAGGAAGACACTATACAAGAAATCCAGGTAAAGGAGAGCCCTGTGCCCTGAGAGCAGGGCTGGATTCTACAATTTGTCTCTAAGCCTAGCAGATTTTGTCCTGTGGGAGAACAGTGCATCTGTTGATAGTTGTGTTGTTCTACTGTCAAAATGTTATCAAACCACTGTGCTACATTGATGCTCAAAATGAACTCAGGATCTCACACACTGCTCCTGTCACAAAAATCTCAGTCCTTTGGCTCTGTTCTGCACCGCTCCTGCGTTGGAATTTGTTTTGCAGTGCTATGAGATGATTACATATAAAACTGACAAGCAGAGACGGGCCCCAACCATAAACTGAATTTCAGTGCCTCATATTTAAAGTGAATTTGGACATGGATTTGAATTTGGATTTACAGCTGCTGGCAGTAGACAAAACCATGTAGTTGCCTTGCCTGTTTTTTTTGTTGTTTTTTCTTTTTTTTGTTTTTAATACTGAGAAGCCTTCAGGAAGTATACAAACAAAATGAATAATTAAAAATATTATAATCTTAATTATCTCTGTTATTATTAGTGATGCAGGTGTGAGAAATATTGCCTCTTCACATGCATTATGGTTGAAAGTTATTTGTCAAAATTCCATTTCATCCTTTAACAATTAAAGTTAGAAACACGTTTGTGGGTCTGTCATGGAAGGAGTTTAGCTAAGATGAAGAGTTCTTGTAGAAATGCCTGTCACTTTATGAAGACATCTTAAATGGTTAGGAAAGCAGGCCCCTCCTAGGGGAACAGCAGCACATCTTTGGAGATCCTGAAGCACAATTGTGCCATGACTCTATTAGTGATTTCTAGCCAGGGCCATTGACAATGTGTCAAACTTGGTAATTTTGGCTGAGATACAACGTGTTGCATCTGTACCTAAAACTAATAAAAATTTGACTGGGCAGCCCCATGCCAAATGAAACAGAAGAAGATGGGCATCAAATCTATTTTACTTGCAGTTCAATGCTACTGGTCTGCTTGCTAGAAATTTCATACCTGTAAGGGGAGCAAAATTAGGTCTCCTGTTGCTAGTCACACAGGTGAAGGAACACCATGAAAGAGGAAGCATCCCATGCTCATGGAGTGGGGAAAAGCTTGGCGTGAGGCCCAGTCTGTTTCCCTCCTCAGTAGTGCATCTGGGTCTCTTAAGCTGAGAGCCCTAAAGCTCCATTTAATGTCCTTAAAGCTCCATTTAGCTGCTTCTAAGGTCACGAGAAGTCATGGTGCAGCATCCCTATGTGTCCCACACGTGCCTGTGGATGTTGCTGTGTGATCTGAACTCCCAAATTGTCCTCAACAGTAGTCCAAGGAAGGAGACTGCAGAGACAGTGGCACTGACACAAGTCTGGGAGTTGCAGAGCAGGAAGGGGGTGCAAAATATACAACAAGTTTTCAGCTAAACTGCTGTAGCTGTGACCTGGATGCCAGTTTCATCAGAACAAACACAAAAAGCACGTCTTGCTGTTGTTTCTCATGCAAGCACACCTTATCTGGATTCAGTCCACACAACAGTGACTGCTGAAGCTTTACTAGTAGCTGGCTTTCAGCATGTACTTCAGCACGTGGCAGCTAAACTGTACCAGATACAAATCATGATCAGTGCCTTTTATCCATATGACAAATAAGAGAATTAAATTCTCTTTTATTCCTTTGCATGCTCTTCTGAGCTCTAAGTTGAAAGGGTCCAGCTTCAGCAGTGAAGTGCTCAGAGTGAGCAGGTGGGATAGACGTAGTTGTAATTCCAAGCTCAGTCCCAGCCACTTACCACCTTCTCAAACTCATAATAAACTCATGACAGATAATGTCAGGAGAAGACAGCTTGGTGCTTAGCTGCACTGAAGTACATCGGGCTGGGAAACTATTTTAGAAAGACAAAATAGGAAAAAAAAAGTTACTTTGCTAAAAAAAGATAAGGGTTCTCCCTACTAAATAGTTGCAATCATTTGAACCTGCTGCACAGCTGGTATGTAAGAAGGTTCAGGATTTTGGCCTGCAGTAAATTGATATTGAACATGTGTCTCTGTTGGTTCCTGGAGAAGGTTTGGCTTTTTGACCATGCGTCAGGAAAGCTGTGCCCCTCCTGTCAAGGATTAAAGCCATTACCAGGCAGCATTACCAAATTCACACTTGGTTACTTACTATCTCTTGCCTAAATTGAGGCTGCAGTTTCACACAAAGAGAGGTTTGCAATATTTCTCTTAACTGCTCTTGTGTAGTATTATTGTTCTAAACTAGCTCCTTCCCTTCCCACATGTGATATGGTTGCAGCCTTCTCTTTTTTGGGGAATATTTTAAGAAATGAAGCAATGTGAAAATACAAACTCAGTTAGTTTGCTTATTTTCTGACGTACCACTAGTGTCCTAATGTACAGCATTTTCCAAGGGCCTCAGTTTCCTCAGATGAATGCTCATGTGTGCAGTTGCATGGATTTTGAAGACACATTTTATATATGCAGAACTGGAACTTGTTTAACGTTTACACCCTCTACTATTTAGTACTCTAGTATTATGTGCAATTGTATTTCACGATGGTTTGACCACACTAATAACCACCCTAGATTGAAAAATAAAAGGAGTAAAAACCAGGTGAATTTATAAAAATTTATAAAAAAATTATTTATACTTTTTAAAAGGAACACTATCCAATATTAGTCTTACTTATTTAGATGATAAATTTGGTTTGTCTTCCAAATACAGACTTTTAAAAGAGTCATACTTCTGTTGTATTCTTTTCTAAAAATTCAGACTTTGATGTTTGAGGTATGTAGGAAGGAGAGAAAGCGACTGTGATTTGCTCCTGTTCTCCCTCTGCTGGCTCTCAAATAGCTGTAAAGTAGAAATTATGGGGAAGGGACAAATGCAGTAAGACTGAAAAACTTCCTCATCAGTTTAATGTCAGTGATTTGAATCTGCAGCATGGGTGCCTGTTGTCGTTCAAGTGAATGGTGGCATGGGAGGGATCAGTGAGTGATTCCACAGTAGTCCTTCACCAAATGGCACCACACCGTGGATGGCAGGAGTGGCTGGGGCCCATTTCTGTCTTTCTAGCAGACAGGCCAAGGGTTGAGGGAATTTCAGCAGTACTTCTTTCCACATTAAGGTTGTGATGGTTTGTCTTGCTGTTGTCTGGGTGATGTCCAACTTGTGCATGCTCTCAGGGTGGCCAGCCCGTGTTTGATTCTATAGAGGCTATGTTTCAGAAGATGAAGACAAGAGGATTGAAATTCCTTGGCCTGGGCATCTCACAGTTACATGAGATGATGGATTAATGTTCCTATTAAATAATTAATTGAAGGAACTATTGCTGTTGTTCCTATTAACTTCAGTGAGACCTGTACTTCCTCAGCATACTCATGCAGCAGGAGCCGTGCTTCCAAATTAAAGTTGTACCTGTGGTGTAAGCCCTGAAAGATGTTACTTTCTAGATCCTCTAAACATGCTGGAATATAGGAAGGAATTTTCTGTTTTTGCTCTGCAAATAAAATTGTTAGCTGCCAAGGAGAAAACCACTGATTTCTGTCTTCTAAAGTGCATTCTCAACATTAGAGGAAAACGAAACAGTTTAAAGTGGAAGAATTCAAAATAAAAAAATCATACACAGAGTTTCCCAGACAGGCCCTGCAGTTCTGCATACTAATACTTGTGTTGTCTTGGGATATTGGTGCTCAGTGATGCCACTATTATTTTTTATTTCTTAGGAACCTTTTTTTTTGTAGTTGACTGATATCAGTGGTATTTTTTAATAAGAACTCCCTGGAGAACTGAGGGTGGAAGAGAAAGCAAATTTTGCTTTAGTGGGAAGAAGTAGGGGTTCTGGGATCTGATTTGGCATTATATCATTAATCAACTGTAATTTAATAACCTGCAGTCTCTGTGGTAAAGAGCAGCAGTTGGTTGTATGTGTCATCATCTTTTCTCCTAACCATTCCTGTTTATTGTTCAATCACAGAGGGTTTTAGAAAATGATGAAAATGCAGATGAAGTGAATGAAGAAGAGGATTTAGAAGAAGATATTCCAAAACGAAAGAACAGGCCTAGAGGACGGGTAGGTGAAGAGTTTACTGGAGTGGAAAGGAAGGAGATAAACTTCTGCTTTCTAGTGTATATGTGTCATGTGTACTGCATATGCAAAGTGTATATCCATGGATATAGGATAGTCACTATAGGTAATTTTCAGTCATATGGTCAAAGTTTTAAAATATTTTTTCAATTTTTGTGAATTACCAAGAAGAAAGACTGTTGAAAGTAGAATTTGGGATAAATTTCTTATAGTGTTGTATTTAAAATTGTAATATAAACTGTAATAATTATGATGACATCCTGCTATTAGTATGCTCTTACTTTAAATCAACATTTACTAATTACAGAAAAGTAACAAGTTCAGTCATGACAGATTAAAAAAAAAAAAAAAATTAAAAAAATTAGTAAAAGTAACTTGAACTATGTTAATAGATTTTGCAGCTTTCTCCAAGGTAGCACTTTGTGGCTGACACTGGCCCTCTTGAGCCCATGGCAAATCTTCCATTTGCATAAAATGGGCAATATTTTATCCTTAGGGGAATCTGTGTCCCTTCTCTTACTTAAGATGTCTTTCCACAATTTCAGCAAGCACCTGTTAAGTAATGAGGCCAACATTTTAAAACCTGGAATCAACATTTTCAGTTGTGGCCCCATAAGCTAGGCATCTAAATAAACATGAACACAATTCTCAGATGTTTCAAGCATTTTCATCTCTCTTTAGCTCCAGCAGATGCTGCAGGGGCACAGGAGCTCTAGAAGTACCTTTTGATGTGTTTGTAGGAGTCAAGCAAGAAGGGCCACATTTTAGGCCAAATGAGCAGGATATAATAGCTTTTGAATGAGAGAAAGACATGAAACCACATTGAATACTTGCAATGTACTTATGCATCAGACCTTCTCTTTTGGTTTCTTCTGTTGTTGTGTTGTTTCAGTTTTCTGCTCCTCTTTATTTTGGAGCTTAAGTCCTTTAATATAAGATCAAAGCACTTTAATAATTGGATAAGTATATATTTCACCTTCCTTATTCTCAAAATCACCTGAACCAGTTTCTTTCTTTCTTTCTTTCTTAGCCAAAGACCCCCACCTGGAAAAAAATTTTCCAGAAAAATGTAAGTTTCAGAAAATTTGTATGAACCAGTAACCAAAACCAGGAGTTAGAATCGATACATGCACACAAGCTTTACTGTAGCCACCAACTAATATTCCAGGCTAACAACTCTTTTCTAATAAAGGTTACTCTCACATAAATTGCACATGCTGGTTAGGATGAGCGAAAGGGAGTGAACAGCTAAAAGAGATCTACTGCTCAGGAGAAGGGAATTTGCTGTATTCATATATCTCAGGCCTACACAAACAAAGTCCTGAAGTTACTGTTATGTGCAAAGTTTTACTCCCCTGTTCAGGAAACTGTTTCAGAACAACCCTATTACTTTTTCTCTGCTGCTGTAGGGAAAAGAGTTGGAGGGTAGTAGATATGCCATTCATTTTGAAGCTTAAATTTATGTCTTATTTTCTGCCCTGGAACCGGCCCCAAGGAGCAGCAGGATCTCTTGCCTTTTTCTTGCAGCTAACTCCTGCTCTGCTAATGCCCTGGCTTCATTCAGTGAAAAAAAAAAAAACACGTTTGAAGAGTGCCAAATACTTTGAGCAATTTTCATTTTTATTTGATGGCATCAATAACCAAGGCAAAATGTGTTATAAATTAGGATTTCAAAATTAGAGCCAGATTCCCTAGCTGTTGAAAACTGGTAAGCCTGAACTGTGTCTGGCCATGGGTGTTTTGTCACTTTTCAAACAGCCCTTTTCTAATGCAAGCCTGATCCAGT